GTCACATTTTCCCCAGTAACCAAAGGTTCCCAGAAAGCCACAAATCAAGCTTTACACCTGTGTCTAAGGGGTCTAAGCAGGAAGTATCCATATACTCTATTACACATGAAACATAGCGCTTACAGCCATTTATGTTGGCTTCCGCCTGTCATTCAGGGTGGGTATACCTAGCATAAACTTAGTCCTAATAAAATGAATACAATTTAAATTCATGATATATATATATATATATAGGTCCCTCATCCAGCTCGAATGACTGTTTATTCCGGGGCTGTGTTTGTTGAGCCAGCTGCCCAGCAGGTAGCTCAGTTAGCCGCCCAGCAGCCACTAGCTCTGTTAGCCACTCAATCGCCACCTCCATTACAGTCACAGCCAGACCTATTAGACACTTGGTTACAATCCATAGCTCAGTCAATAGCTCTGTTGGCAAGAGACTCATCAGCTTTATTATCAGCTCAGCCACCTATTCAGCCACCATCTTCACCAGCTCCGCCTGTATTACAAGTCAAGTCCATCCAACCGGAAAAGCACTGTATTTCACCTGTTCATGTCAAGCAGAGAGACACACCACATAACGCAGTTGTCAGTCCGCAACAGCTGGCCAGCCCAGAGACTGTGATGCACTCCAGGGCCTCCCCAGAGGCTGGGTCCCAGCCCCCGGCCGACTCTGGACCCCTGGAGATTAAGAAGCCAGCTGAGGACTGTATCCGGCTGTCGCTGCCCGAGCTGGGTCAATGCTCTGTGCAGCTGCAGTCTGCCTTGTGTTTGCCAGAGGCCCGTGTGCCTGCTGGTTCTGACCCGTACCTGCCAGAGGCCCATGTGCCTGCTGGTTCTGACCCGTACCTGCCAGAGGCCCGTGCGCCTGCTGGTTCTGAACTGTGCCTGCCAGAGGCCCGTGCGCCTGCTGGTTCTGAACTGTGCCTGCCAGAGGCCCGTGCGCCTACTGGTTCTGACCTGTGTGTTCCAGGGGCCCCGGTACCCACTGGTCCAGAGACTGTTTTCGCTGGGGGGCCCGAGGAGCCCGTCCAGCCTCCTGCTTCGCCTGCTGGGGGCCCGAGGAGCCCGTCCAGCCTCCTGCCTCGTCAGCTGGAGGTTCAGGAGAACCTAGCCAGCCTCCTGTCTCGTCAGCTGGGGGGCCCGAGGAGCCCGTCCAGCCTCAAGACTCGTCAGCTGGAGGTTCAGGAGAACCTAGCCAGCCTCCTGCCTCGTCAGCTGGAGGGCCCGAGGAGCCCGTCCAGCTGCCAACTGCAGCCTCATCATCCTCGCCAGCTGCAGCTTCATCCACGCCACGGGCAGCAGCAGCTTCTTCCACGCCTGCAGCGCTACAGTCTCCGGCTTCCACGCCGTCGCCTGCTGCAGCCTCATCATCCTCGCCAGCTGCAGCCTCCGAGCCTTCATCCTCGCCCGGTCCAGCTTCGTCTTCAGCATCGCCTGGTCCGGCTCCAGCCTTCATGTCTTCAGCATCGCCTGGCCCGGCTCCAGCATCCTCGTCAGCATCGCCTGGTCCGGCTTCTGCTTCAGCTTCGCCTGGTCCGGCCTCTGCTTCAGCATCCTCATCAGCTGCCTCGTCTGGTCCAGCCTCTGCTTCGGTCTCGTCTGGTGCTGCGACGGCCACGCCACCTTCGGGTCCCAAACTGCCGCCTCGACATCGGCGGTCATCTGCCAGGCCGCTGGTGGAGCGTCATCGTCAACATGGACGACCTCCTAGACGCCGCCGCTGCCTTCCGCGCGGTCGGCCTCCAGACTTGTGTCATCGCCGCCGTTGCCGTCCGCACGGTCGGCCTCCAGACTTCTGTTATCGCCGCCGTTGCCGTCCGCACGGTCGGCCTCCAGACTTCTGTCATCGCCGCCGTTGCTGTCCGCACGGTCGGCCGCCTGAACAGTTTCCCTGTTGCCGCCGCTGCCGTGTGCACGGGCGGCCCCCTGAACTGCCTCCACTCCGCCACCGCTGCCTTCCGCTCGGTCGGCTTATGGATCTGCGTCGCCGACGTGGCCGGCCTCAGAAGATGAACTGTCCTGGACTTCTGAGCTGTCAGCCCCTGGGCCGGCCTCCTGAACTGTGTTGTTGTCCTTGTACTCCAGCATGTGTGTTTTTGTTTTGGACAATTCCCTCGGTCCGCTGGAGCTTGTTTTGCTCGGTGTTGGTCCCTCCGTCCTGGGCCCCTGCCGCCCGCCCTGGGTTGGTCGTTTGTTTTTGTTTTTGGCTGTCTGGAGCCAGCCCTTGGAGGGGGGGTACTGTCATGGTCCTGGGTCGTTGACCCAGCGTTTTGCGTTTTTTCTGATCTGTATTAGTTAGGGTTAACCTGAAGTTTGGTGTATTGTCAGCCCTACCTGTGTCTGTCCTTGGTGCTCTGTTCATGTCCCCGTGTTGTGTTGTACATCAGTCTGTTTCCTGTTTTATTTTGAAGGCTCGTGTTCTGGATTTCCTGTTCTGTTCTGAAGGTCTGTGTCTGTTATTGTGTTCAGCTTGTCTCCTCCGGTCCCCAGGTGTATTAGGTTCAGCTGTTCTTCCCTCCTGTGTGTGATTACCTGATTACCTTGTGTGTGTATATTTAGTGGGTGTCGGTCTGTGTTCGTTGTCGGCTCGTCTGCGTTCATCCATGTATCACTGCGTTCCTCCGTGTAGCTCTGCATTCTATGGTGTTTCGTTCCTGTCTCTGTGTCTTTCTGCCCCGCACCCCTTTTGTATGGTCTCAGGTTTGTCTTTAGTTTCTCCCAGTTTAGGTTTGTAATTGCTCATGTTGAGTTGCCTGTTTTTGCCACCACCACCACCTTGTAAATAAACATCACTCTGTCATCAGTTCGCTGCATCTTGGGTCCTCCTTTTCCTCCACACCACACGGCTCCCTCCGCCAGCCGTGACAAAACGATTAGCACATGAGCATTGTTGCTGTGAATAAGTGAATAACTGCGCTGTTTCTCACTATCTGTCAGAAAACCACTTTTTAACTTCAAACAGCTTCTTATTCTGGTGCAAATATGTCAGACAACAAACATGTGAGCAAATGTTTATGTGGTCAATACTTGAGCCTATCCCACCTGTAAAAGGGTGAAAGGCAGGGTACACCCTGGACAGGTCGCCAGTTAACCCAACCCCATTACCTGCATGTCTTTGGAGAAAAAGCCAGAGGACATACAGAGAACTGTTACCTCACAGGTTTTAATAAAGTTAATTTGAAACACAAAGCTCTGGGTTTCTTTGCTCTAAAGGAAAAACTGCATACCCAAGGGCCAACCCAGATAATTATCTACAGAAACAACAAAGTCAGTGTTAGGTTCTGAGGCTCAGAGTTAAAAGTTCTCTGCAGGACTTCTTTATGTGAAGCAGTAACAGACTGCTAAGTGTAAATGCTTGAGAAAATCTGAACTGCAAGGTGGGGAAAACAAAGAATAAAATGCAATAACCAATCAGAAAATATACTGGAATTATTAATATAAAAAAACAAAACCAGAGAAAAATAACAGCATTTAAAAAGGAAAATGGGGCCAGATAAACGAGCCGTGTTCACAGAAATGCCAGGTCCTGTCGAGGTGGACCACCACTGTGCAAACGCATTGCCTGACATCTGTTTTGCAGCTTGGTTGTGCACGGTGGTTTATGTTGAGAAAGCGGTGTGTGTATATCATCTTTGGCTCAGATCCATGTGATCTTGACAGTTGGCCGCAGGCAAGGTTGTCGGATGCGATGATTTCACAGGGAGAAGAAAGAGTCAACAAAGCAAAGACGAGGAGTGTGGATCTAGTCTCTTTCTTCGCTCAAGAGGCCACGTGATGCTTGTGAAGAAAAGCATCATGGTCTGGTTTACTGCAGAACAACAGAACTGCAAGAGACTTCCTGACATAAAATGTGTTTGAAATGTGTCCGTTTTTCATTTCTCCTCTGGACACACAAAGAGAGGGGGCTTCCCCCCGTTTTATGCGACAGCAGCATGTGGAAGAAATTTGGTTCAGCTCTCTTGGAAATTTTGTTGAAAATTTCATCTGCCAAGATGATTTTGCATTGTATAAATGTTCATTGTGAAAGTTCACCAGATTCAAGGTGGACAAAAGTTTGAGAGCAATGGGTCAATGCAGGGTTGATTTATTTTTAGGATTGATGTTTCTTTTGGGGTCTGTGAGAACTTTTGATTTATTAGCAGCGAATCACACTAAATATGTTGTGTATGCCAGAAAGCATTTATCATTTTTGACTGGAAAACACAGAAAGCAGGAAACATTACGAAATGAAATCATTACCACTCTGCAACACAGCTCTTTCAGTAGTGGCTTTGTTCTGCTGTTTGGCTACATTTATTAGAAAGTATCAGTGTTGCAGATGAAAAGAACTTAGGAACATTAAACTCGGTTGGACTTCTGAATGCAGTCATGTCAGGAAACGAAGACAAAGAAGCATGACTGCCTTAAACTGTTACATGAAACCTTTTTCTTCTGCTGCTGATTGGACAGATCTGGAAACAGATCCAGAGACCAACACTGCAACGCTGACTTTTTTCAAAGTTACAGTACTGTGCAAAAGCTGTGAGTCAAGCCTCATTTCTTTATATTTTCCTTCCAAGGAGCCAGCCTTTCTTGTCATTTTTAATTTAGTTCAGGTTTCCTGTAGGTGTTTTTCTTTGGACATTGGCTTCTTTTTCACTCATTATCAGCTCAGTCTTTGTACCTGACCATGTTATGTTTTTTTTTATTCAGAACTGGTGGAATTATAAATGCAGAAAAGTACCATCACATTTTCATCCATCATGCAATAGCATCTGTAAGGCATCTGATTTGCAACAGCTTGATTTTTTCGGCATGACAAAGATCACAAATACACTGCTAATGAAGTAAAAGCAAAAAAACAAACAAAAAAAAAAAAACACAGGGAAACTCTATCAGTCATGGATTGGCCTCCACAGAGCCCCACTCGGTTTTTGGCAATGTGTTGAAAAGAGGAAAATGATGAAGCATAAAGATCTGATTGACAAATGAAATAAAAACCTCTGACAACTGCAACTTTCTGTAAAAATTAATTTATTCCAAAAAGCTACAGTCACTATTACAAAAGCTATTGTATCGGCGAGGCAAGCCAGGTGTTTACATTGTAGAGAGAGCAAGATCATATCAAAAGCAAATACAGAATGTATAACAAAAGCAACCTTTTTTTTTCTGACACAGAAAAAGCCAATCCCGTACCATGCCAGGCTCACTGGCTGGAATTAATGGGTGCTCAGCACCCTGTTATATACGAAAATGACACTTTGATTCAGTACAAATCACAGATTAATGTGAACTTGGAAAAATGCACTCTTGGGAGAAACCCCCCCACAAACAAATACTGAATTTAAAAATATTTTTCACACCTTATTCTTTGGTATATTTGTTGCTCCTCGTAAAGAGAACTAGATCAATATGCAGGCCTGTAACCACTTACCCCACACATGCTTATTTTAGCTCACCAGCTTGCACAGCCAGTAATTGTGAGCATCTGAAGTCAACCTAATGCCATGCACTTACAAACTTCTGAGTTAATAAAAGGTTATTTATACCTCAGCACTCGCAGGAAACATAGGATCATTTAAAACAATACATGCCACACTGTCACATATCCTCTCAAAAGTCAACGTTTGATTTGAAGAATTTTGACAGCAAAACCAAGAAAAAAAAACAAACAAATTCTAAAATGTATACAATGCTTGTGTCCAGCACAGAAACAAGAAATATCAGATTTAGATATTTCATTTCCAATGTTTGAACATTATCTCCCTGTTGTTTGGGCATTCAAAAGCTTTGAACTATGAGCTTTCTAGTAGTTGTTTGTGCGGCCACTTGAAATAAACTGAAACGGTACACACTGGTATAAGTTGTGGGTAGGTTAGGTGACAGTACAGTCGTGCAGAGAAACAATGATGTCACTGGCACAGATCAACTGAACCACAAACTAAAGAGTGAGGCACTAAACTTTGTTGCATGAGCAAAGCAGAGGAATCATCCTGCGGGTTAAAATGAATGCTTCTTTGGAAATAAGGCGAATCTTGTGGAAGACATGAAGAATACAGTGGCTTTCATGCTTATTCAGAGTTCTTAGATCTTTCTGTCACCTCGCCCAACATTTCACTTGCTATTGTTTCAGTTTGATCTGCCACTAATGCTTCACAGAGAGCACTTCTCCGTTAGTTAACAGGAAGAAGCTCTAATTTTTTAGCTTTTTGGAGAGGGCCTTTTTAATCGGCTGGTTCTTTTGGTCCTGGGTCGTGTCCTGATCGGGGTGACTTTGCGGCTTCTTCGATTCGTAAATCTGTTTGAAGCTGAGGGTTTGCTGCTCTTTTGTTGTTTCTCGCTGAGCCTGGCGTAGCAGACGTTTCATGGTCTTCACCTTTTCCCTCAGGTGGCCGTTGGCTTTCTCCAAGGAACGCACTTTCTGGGAGAGGGTCCTCACCCTCTCTTCCTCCTCAAACAGAGCCTTCTGCACGGTGGAGCACAGCAACTGCGAGGAGAAGGAAAACAGAGCCAAATACGTTTGTATTACCTGAAAAAGCACGAGATGTCTTACACTAGGTAAACGTGAAAGGTTACAGTTAATCTCTCATTATTCCAGTGTTAGCCTTATTCTGCAGGCTTTCCCACAAATTTTCATCCTGCGCTGCAACTTGAGTGAAATCATAGTTGGCGCTTTATCCCACAATGAATCATGCTAAATGCTAGAGTCAAGTCAAATCTCTCTGTGATACATTTAAGATGTAACACCTACTAGATCTGTTGCTCTTGATGCCAGAATCTAATGAGAGAATCATTCATGTTTTTAGTGCCAACAGCTCATAGGTCTTCCAGTGTTTTAGCTTTTGTATAAACAGCAGAGAATTTCTCGCTGTGTAACTGTGGCAGTGAACTGTTTTAAGCATTATCGTGTAGCACAAGTCCCACTCTTTATGTAATACTGTGGGCAACGGTGCAGCTCTATAGCAACTAGGGAAAAATTGTTACACAACATACTTTTCCCATTTCAGTGAGACACCACTGTGAGATGGAACCTGTGACAGACATCCAAAGGCCTGGACCATTCCTGGGTGAAAAAACGAGCTCCAGATGCTTCAGAATGCATGCCTGTCTGCTTGAGTGTGGATTTCCGTAGCAGATCCTAATGCTTCCACACGGGCCAGCATGAAACACTGATGTAAATTCTCCTTCATCAGATAACCACCACTCATGGTTTTTCAGGAAATGTTAAAAATGTGCTGCCGGCTGCCTGCCCACATCGCTGCTTAGTACATTACTTCTCGTTATATTAGCTGTGGGTTTTGCCCATGTGCTCTTCCATATGTCCCAGAGCGAATTCTGTGGAAATATTAAACTTTACAATGCAAAGAATGAAGTTTAGGAGCTAAAAGAAATGTTTTATGAAGCATAAAGTGTAAAGTGGCACATCTATGTTTTTGCGCACACGTTCAGTTAGAGGTGGACCAAAAGCAAACCTGCTGAACCTAGAACGGCGCCATGGATGGATTAGATGATAGCAGCTAGTGCGAAAAATTCATAAGTGTAATTCATCTTCAACATACTTTGTATTAAACTGTTAAAGTCTTTTGGGAAATGAGCTTGGAGAGACATGACATTCAAATTTGTATAATCAGGATTTGGGAGATATGGTTTTTCGGTTAGATAAACATCTCTCCTGTATGACACATGGTGTCAAACTACAGTTGTAAGGATTTATAAGAACGACGGGAAAAAAACTTTCAGCTTCTGCAAAATTTTCTAGTTGATTGCCATCAAGTGAAAAACTGATAAAATTAAGATGATTTAATTACAATTGTTAATTATATGTTTGTTTTTAATATCTATTTAGATTTAATGTAAGGGACAAAATTTGTGTGTGTTGTTTTTATTTGTACACCGACTCCTCCTACACAATAAAGAGCTGAGCAACCAAACTTGGCACACAGGTACATCTTAGGCCCCCAAAGGGCTCAATTTAGTGATTGTCATGTCATCAGGTTGCCTGGCAGACACATACGAGTGTGCTAAAATCAACTGTTTTTGTCTTTGCGTACGTACATTACCTCAAAAAAGCATCGTATCATTTTACCTTCACGCCTAACAGCAAAAACCGGCCAAACATACTGTAGCTTGGGCATGTCGTAGTGCATTAAATATATTCTGATGTTTAAACCCCAGAATGGCTCAAGCTCAACATGCAACACTGTTAAAAAGATCCTGCCTGCCTCTTCTGTGAACCACACTTTTCTTCTTTCTTTCTGCATTTTTTCTAAAGTTTCTCTAAAATGCATCCAACCAGCACAGACAATATCCAGGACTTCTAATGTGTCTGATCTAAATCTGTTTTAACCTAATTACTGAAGCAGTGTAGGATGATCTTGGCACAGAGCTTTGAATGTCCTTCATTAAACCTGGAGATCTATTCCTGAAGACTACTTAAAGAAATGACAAGAAAGCTTGATGAGAGAGTTCAGGGTGTGTTGAAGAATAAAGGTGCTCATAATAAATATTGACTTTCAAGCGTGTTAAAGTTTTTGGTGTGTATATTGTATTTTTTTTTTCCAGATGTCTCAATAAATCACTTCCCTATGTCACATATTCCTAAGAAAATATAAAGAAATGAGAGGCAGCTTGAGACTTTTGCACAGTTGGACCGTATGCAACCTGAAGCTGCGGTCTTCCTACATTGTGTGATCAGTGTTGGCTCTGTGTCCTATCACTGGCTCAAGACTGTTTTTGGCCCGTTAACACTAATATTTCACCATCAGTGTGAGAAACAAAACTGTGGGAAAATCCCTGCTTCTTAAAATAATGTTTATGTTACTAATAACGTTTAGTGTTAAATCACAACATGACGTCACCCCATCTGATTTACTCCGGTTAACACTGGACTATAAGATGCAGGACATATTATCCAGTCTGATTTGACTTCAGGTCAACTGTCCAAACAGCGGTCGCTGAGTAGCACTAAAAGCAAAGTCTGTTTTTATTTTGCTAGAAGGAAATTTAATCACCAGAGTGATATAACAAAGCGGCACCGATATCAAGACGTCACTCTGTAATTATAATCACAAGCCGGATCAAAAGAAAAAAAAAGTTTTCCATTAATGGAAATACAAAACTATGTTTTCTTTTCTTTTTTTCTTTTTTTTTAACCCATGGCAGATTCTTTCTTTTATGAGTAGTCAGCAAATGAAAACCAGACAGGAGTGAACTGATCTGAACCAGGGGGGGGGGGGGGCTTATGCCAAAAGGTTTAAATTCATTAAAGGAGATAAAAGAGCAGTGAGCGGCTGGAAACCCCTTCAAAACTGACTCAGTCGAGGTTTAGGAGAAGCACGTGTAGACACAAACATGCTTTAATCATTTCAGCAGTGACAGCAGGGGCGTGAAGCGGAGACTGAGCTGGTTCATTAAGGTCATGTTATAATCTCATGTGCATCATTAGAAGCATTACAAGAGTAAGAGTGTGGCACTGCTACACCACCAATCTGCAATCATGAGCTTTTTTTTGTAGAAAATGGCCACTTACTTTATGTAGCGACTTTATTCAGGATTCTTTGTATGTTTTTGTCCTTTGTCCCAATTTTTATCTAGCCCAGTGGTTCTCGAGCCACTGCAGGGATGGCACGTTTGCTGATGCTATTACGCTAACCTTCATTTAAGTAAAGTTCAACTGCTGGATGCAGGCTGTAAATTGTGGGGTGTGAGGAATCAACCTTTGTCAGCCCCTGAAACGAGGCGTGCCAGAAAAAAGTTTGAGCACCGCTGATCTAGCCAAACCTAAAGAAACGTGCTTCTGGTTTCCCATGCTGTAAGAACACATTAAGGTCCTTTGAACAGGATGTCAAACTGAATACTTTTCACATTTACCACAATGCTTGTGGCTATCATGTCCTATAGTATACTTTTTTGCCTGAAGTACTATGTGGGAAGCCACCAGAACTTGCAGCAGCTAAATGAGAAAAACACGCCCCTTCTCACTAACTGGATTTAAACAGATGACTTCAAGAGAGTCAAACATCAAGTCTCTCTTGGTGGGTCTGAGTATCTGCATACCCGGCTGTCCTCCTGAGCCTCCCACTCCGGGGTAAAGGTGTGGACTTGAGTTCCAGGCGTGCAGTTGGAAAACTGGAAGAGGCTAGCAAACATGCGGTGATTCTCTGCGGTGTCGATAAAGATGGGGTCCTGAAAGTTCACTCCGTGGGGGACGATGTTGTAATTCTCATCCATCCTGCATGACAGAAAGGGGAAAGAGTCTGTTGATACAGCGACGAGCAAGAGTGAAATGTGGGCTTTCAGTAAAAAAAAACAAAAAACCTCAAATGTGTGGAAACAAACAGATGCACGCAGACAGAAGAATAGATTGTGTAACATTTAATTATCACCAGAAGTCCACTCAAAGCAAATAAATGGACTTGTGCAAAAATCGCTATAAGCATTTTGCACAAGTCCACTCAGTCAATGTTTGTTTGTTGTCTGAGAATTTAGGCATTTAGTATTTGTATGATTTTCATATATACAATTTCTTTATCTGGGGGAAAAAAAGAAACACATCTCTAGAGAATTGTTAACAGGTCTTGTTCTATTTTTATGCAAATTGAAGCATTATGCGGATGACTCAAACCAGCGAATGACAAGCCAAAGGCTTTTACAAAACATGTTTCATATCTTCAGGAAGTCTTGAAGCAGTGGGTTTCCATACATCTGGATTCCATCTCATATCCCTCAAGGGACATCAAAAGTTTGGCTGTCCCTATAGGAAGCTGTGTGGGTGTGTGTTGTATATGTGGGTATCTGTGTGTATGTTGAAAGAGCGAGAAGAAAGCTGATGTTTTGCTTCAACAGAAGATGTCAAAGGTGAGATGTAATCACAGTCACTGTGAGGTCTGAAGAAATGAAAATCCTTTTTCTTTTTTCTTTTTTCACAGAGTATCGGTTTAGTACATGATCGAGAGTGCAAAAGCAGCATGCGTACTTCAAAAACCTTACTTTGAGTAAAAGTAAGTATAGCTTTCTCCTCCTTCAAGGCTCGGTGTTAGGTTACCTCATTTTTAATGTAAAAGTTACAAATCCTGAAAAAAATGAACTATAAGCTAAGGTTTTTGCATCGAACATATGGCTAAAGCAGAACACTCAATCTGTCTCATTTAAAGGTCCCGAGGGAGGTCTTCAGTTGCATTTTTCTCCATGCTCAGCTCTGTCCAGGGAGCTTATACTCATGATTGATTGGAAATACTATTTTAGTCAGAGACTATGCTTTTGGGGCTTTTGCAACAGGAAATGAACATCCACTGGAGACTGTGATGAGAAGTTTTCAGTTTGGACTTGATACTATAGTGTCTGGGACTTGATGTTGTACTCCACTAAAACTAAACTGATCTGTTTCAGGTTCAGGAAACAGGAGGTGCCTCGACCTCGCACATAGCAGAACATGCAAACACAATTTGTTTAAGCCATATGTCATCTCCCATCTAAACCATTTGATTTAATACTCTCTAAATATTTGGTTGCTGTGGTGTCAAACACCACACGAAACTGAGACTAAAATCTATTTCTTCTTTTTTTTAGGGTGCTAAAAGAATCGTTGGAAAATAAATCGATTTGCTACATTTGCAATCACCAGGAAACTTAGTTGGATTGTTTAAATATGTAAATATGAAGCTACTAACAGCATAACAGCATATGGCTTCGAATAATCATCCTCTCACTCACCAGGCCTGTGCTTTCCAGAAGAAGTAAAGGGTGTTCTTCTCCCCCACTTTCGCCAAGTGCACGCTCACAGGGGATTTTTGGATCTTTCTATTGATGCTTTATGTCTTGCTTAGTCACACACTTCCTTTGACTTTAGGAAATGCTGCTCCTGGCCAGCCAATTAACCCCCAGATTGCATCACCCCCTGTTAAACTGTAAGGTGAAATTTTCAGGCTTTGTTCTGATCTCTGCAATTTTTTTTTTACATGAAGTTACGAGTCTTGCCACACACTGTCATTTGATATGTTGTTATGACAGTGTAATAACTGTTCCCATCCCAGTAATTACTTGGGTTCTTGAGCTTTTTTTGTTTTTTTAAAAAACCATCTGTTAAAAGCAGTACACTGGCAGTCTTTCAATCCTAGATGCCCTGAAGTTAAAGGAAAATGTGGGCAAACATATTTGGGGGTTTTCCTCCATTATATCTTTGGTAAACATTGACAAAGACCACTGTATTGCTTTACTGAAGTAATCATGGCTTTTTAATTATCTTCAGGTCTCCACTTAAACACAACTCTGTTGCGACTTGCTCTAGGAAGTTTCCGATAGCGGTCACCTGCCCCGATTACAGGGATAACATCCGGATGGTTTTCACCATCGCAACAGGTGGACGGCAAAGCTGTCCCTGAAGGTGTGATTAACTCAGGCTAGTAAAAAAAATCATATGAAAGTCTTTTTGCTATCACCACTCACAGCAAAACACTATCACACATGTGCACGTAATTCTGCATATATGAGGTGTAACATGTGCTATAAAACATTATTGTTGTTGGCTCTGCCACATACCCTCATGTGGGACAGACAAACTTTAAACTTGAGGAATGCATTTTTAGTACCCCTCTCTGAATATCCTGTCTCTTCATCTGTAAGGCGTGTCAGCACACGCTCCTTTTGTCAGGTGACACACTGGTGCATATATGGAGGACAAAAGGTGGTCGTATTGACCGCTGGTGTGCTCATAACTCTTCAAAAATTCTTTGTAATTTACCTTCAAGCTCTTGGAAATGTCTGGCTCTGTAATTACACTAGCTGGAAAGCAACAGACGTTTCCTGAGCAACAGTGTTGTTTCTGTCCAACACAGACATTTAGGAATTAACTTGTTGCATACTTTTCTTTTCTTTTCTTGTCTTTTTTTTTTTAAATCTGGAAATTGGTTGGTTATTCGGCACATTAACCAAATTTGGGATGGTGTCACAGACAGATAATGACTGAAAGAGAATATGCTGTATGGGGGACAGGTGCCAGTTATCTGCCTTTGAGTGAACTTCGAGTGCGAATTCACTAAATCTGTCAACAATACTTTGTTTCCATGACAGATCTCAGCACAGGCCTGATGAGGTGCTGGTTTTCATTGGAAAGAGTGCTACGTGACATCTGTGGATTTTGCATTATTCACAGAGAATAAATCACATCTGCACTTAATGAGGATGAAGAAAACTTAAACCTGCTAGTGATCATTATTTTTCATCATATAAAGCAATGACATGGCTATTGACTAAACCTTTTGTTCTTCTATTCTTTAAATATTTAACTGTCTCTTGTGTCAAAGAGGACCTAAGAAAAAGATGGACAGGTAGCCAACTTAGTCAGGTAATCATCTTCTGATTCTCATGTACGGCAGTCAAATGCACATTTAAGCGTCTTTTTGACCTGTAGGAGATCATCTGTCAGGGACAAAACACACACTGCATATTTTAGTGTAAACATATAAAATCCTTAAACGCTGTCTCCCTTTGTCTATATTTCCACATTGAATATATAGGATGTGTGAAATTAAATGCAACATTTGAGCTAAGCATCTTGTACAGGAGGGCCCGATTCCTAGTGTATCGTTTACAGTCTTCTTACCAAATTAAACTAGGCGCTTGCAACTTAGGTGAGCATGGTGTTAAAGTCTTAGGAGTGAAGCTTAACTGAGACTGGCATCAAATCAGACTACAGCTATCTGTTATCACGCGTGATTAATGCCATACCAACTTTATTCATCTGTGAGTTCACCTTAGGAAGAAGTAGTAGTTGTTGTCTTTGGTGACGCTGTAGGAGAAGCAGGGGAAGTAACCGAGGCCGGTGACATTAAACCTGGAACCCGCAGGAACCTCCAGCATGCTGCCCCACGCCTGATCGCACAGGAGCTCAATCTCGGCGGAGAAGAGCAGGTCAGTGTCGTGCTGCCACGGCAGATAGTTATACACGCTGTACGACTCCTTGTGCAGCGCCAGCACCTTGGCAAACACGATGATCTCGGCCAGCTCGGCACGGCACGCTTCCGTCTGCGGTCTCCAGTCATGGGGTAGCTGACACCCCCAGCTCCCCTCGGGACGGACGGCTGCAAAAATAAACGCCAAAATAATCCACATGTTGTGACAACGAGGAGACAACCGTGAGTCAGGGAGGCGCACCAAGGCGCGCAGTGCTGGTGATGGATGAAATCACTGAGGGAAAAGAAGAAGAAAAAAAGCTGCAGGGATTTCGCTACAGGCGCATACTTCCACCAATGCACAATTAATATTTAGTTTCAGAGTAAGTTACTTAGGAAAAAATTTTTTTTTGAGCAACAAATTAATCCCGTGTATCCTTCACCGTGGTCCTACTACTGCCTCCAGCCACAATTCTTTGCAAGTGGACCAGCCCATTCACCTCAGCATCCCCCTGTAAAAACGCTGCCTCTCACCTTTAGGATGGCAGCAGGAGGAGCAAAGACAAAAAAGGTGCTCTTTCAGTTTCAAACCTACATTTTCCTGTGAAAACACAATAAAGGCACCTTCAGTGCTGGTAAACTCGGGTATTTAAAGCAGCAAACCCATCGTGAAATCCCAGCAAACAATAGAAGATTACGGGTTTTAATTGAAACTCACTAAAGAAAGAATAGTGGCGCCCTCTAGTGACTATCCGCAAGATAGCAGAGGTAGAACTGGAAAAGAGTTGATAACCTATACCAGTTGCATGTCAGTGGCAAATATCCAGCATCCATCTATCCATTAATCGTGGGGACCGCAGCCTAAGAAGGAAAGCCCAGACCTCCCACCCACTCCAGCTCATCCGCGGAAACACTGAGGCCGAGAGTCCTGGGAGGCCTCCCTCCCGCTAGGACATGGAGGGAACACCTCGCCTAGGAGGCATTCAAGTAAGACGAACGTTCCACCCCAGCTGGCTCCATGCGATGTGGAGGAGTAGCGGCTCAGATCTGAGTTCCTCTCATTTACATGAATTATGCGGATAGTTTTATAAATGTCGATGATTTTACACAAACGAACCCAGTGTGGTTACAGAAATCTTTAGATGGAGTCATAATTGCTCTGAAAGATCTCTCTCAATCTGACGCATTGCTGTGCGAAGTGTAATTCATTTACAACTGTTAAAGTTGTATAATGAGAATTCCCAGTTTTGGGAGTATTTCCTATTTTCATTTCATACAACAGCAGCTTCCAAATGAGTTCTGCACAAATCCTGTATAATAAGGAAAAAACAACTGCTTTAACATAAATAGAAACTGATTCAGTCAGAGTAAATTTGTTTTTCTTTTATAACCTTTCACACACTATTGAAGAATTGCAGATTTGAACATTAGGTTTTAAAGGTCCATGACTTAATGACCTTCTACCACAATAGCTTCGTACAGAGTCAGTTAGACTGAGTCGCTCCTCAAACAAAGCTACTACTTTTTTCTCCTTTGGATAACTTTTATGAAGTGTTTGAGAATATTTTATAACTCTTAAACCTTTCCGAGTATAGCTCTGATGTGCTCCTTCGCACAGTTCTTACTTCCCTGTCGCTCTGCAAATCCATCAAATTCTTGTTGTCCCTGTGGGATGGTGGTGGGCGTGGGTATTTCTCAGGTAACAAACACAAAGTAGCAGCACCTGAAAGGGGGCACAGTATTCCAGCGTATGACAGTCTGCAAGAAGACATGGCGGTAAAGCTGCTGATTGTGATGCTCACGGTCAACTACATCTGTGACGGAGGTGAAATGTTTTTACGATAGGACAGAATATTTACATCTAGAGGAAATTCGGTGTTAAATTAATGTATCTGCCTCACCTGTTTGTGTGGCAGCACTGTTGAGAAAATCAACAGCGTCTGACTTTTTGCAAAAAACAAGAGAGGAGGAACCATCAAGGTGTTTCCCCGGAGGCTGCAGCAGCACCGAGCTCAGTGAGGCTGAAGAGCTGATAGACGTGAACGCAGGAAATGTAAGTAAGGAGGAAAGTGCCACAGATTTACGCCCACACTTGTAGCTTATGCTTACTTTGATTTTAACAACTGCTTCTCTGATAGTAGACAATACAGACTATTTTGGAACTCTCAGCACGAAACGAGTGAAACATCTTCACGTGCTAAAATGTTATTGTTAGAAAATGAGCTGAATAACCAGCACATTTCAGATAAGGGAGTTTAAGGGAGATAAGGGAATTTATGCTGAGACATTCTGTACTAATTACTGATGCATTTCCTTTTCATTGTTTCGTTTTAAACTGCATGTAGAGTGTATGTCATCTACAGATCTTTCACACCACAATCCTCTCTGCAGTCCTCAAAAAACAAAAAACAAACAAACAAAAAAAAAAACCCAAAACAAGTGTAAATGTCAGTAGCTGCAGACACTGTGAAGAGAAATATTTTAGGTAAAAGTAGGCCATGTCCCCATTTGGCCAGATGGACTTGAGATTCTATCCACACGAAAATAAACCTAAAGAACAAAGACAATGCCCAGAAACTGGACTCCTAAGTTGAGAAGCACTCCTCTGTTTAACCGGCATAATGTGTAACTTAGTCAAGCAAGGCACTGAGACATGTATCATTACCGTGTTCCTGCATACCAGGCCTGGAATCTGAAGACACCGCAAAGCCCATTAACACTGACTTTGTTACTTAGTGCATTTGCTACACGTATCAGATAACCAGCGTGAAAGCCAGCAGAGAGGTGGAATGTGATTAAGTGGGCTGTCTGTCATGTTGTACACTTGGGTATTTGTTGTGTTGCTTTGCATAAATCTAACCCATACAGCATTATTATTATTAACAGAGACCTCTGCTAGAGAGAGCTCATGAATATAACAACTCATTTACAGGAGGAGAGTTCCAGCCTGCGGTATAATGGAGATGCTTCCCAGAAGGACATAAACTATGTAAGCTGTAATTACTTGAAGTTGAATCCTGCATTTATTATCCTATTAAAAAGAGCAAAATTTTTTTACAATTCACAAGAGGTTTGTGAGTAGAGCCTGGCTGAAATACTGTTGTCCTGTAGCAGAGCCCTGGGAAGGAAACTGTGGTGGATGAAGGATCTGGGATGTAGCGAAGAGAGAGCAGAGCACAAGATGACCGTGTTGTTATTGGACAAAAGGAAGCTTGGGTTTGATTGATGATGTTTGATTACACCGACAAAAAAAATATACAAAAATGATTACAGCAGAATATTATCAGTAGTCTTTAATGAAATACAGCATAGAGGCATGACATATTTGACTAATTTTGCATGTTATTACCAGATACAGATATGTGTGCACTATTGAAAGTCAAGTCTTCAAACCAATAATCATCTTTCACGCCACCTTTGTGTTGTGTTTCTCAGCTCACGTAATTTTTCAGTGTTGTTTTATTCCCTCATAAACTGAGATCTACAACTGTGGTCAGAAGTTTACATATACTCATCATGGGCTTAAATGTTATGGTAATTTGGTGCTTTTAATGTATTCTTTAAATTCTCTTATTCTTATTCTTTTGTTTTCAAAGTGGAATAATTGTAAAGGTGTAGTTGAAGAATGTGGAGGGAGCCCTCAGCCCGATTTGCAAAATCAAATAAAGCGTGCACATATTAAGCAGCAGCTTTAGTTTACCTCAGTTTTAAAAATAACACATTGACACACTGCAAAGTTTTAGGTTTTGAAATAAAGAAGAGAGCTTCTTTCCACATTGAACAAAGGATCCACAAAAGAAGTTTCAGGGGTTTAAATGTACTTAATGAACTGATTCTGATGCCTGGGGCTAGAAATGATTAATCCCAAGACTGAAAGTCAAACATCTGCTGTGCACCAACCAACCACCCTCAGTGAGATGGCTGGGCTTAGGCTGAGCTGTTTGGCTCAGGAAGGAGTAAATCTGGAGTCCAATTAATGGAACAAGACCTCAGGTGTGGTATACAGACACTTTCTATTTAGAAAATCTGTCTATAAATGAGAGCTGATTTACTACTGTAGCTACCTTTGACAAAACTGGGACCCAGTTAAGATGATTCAACTGCAACACAAGACATATTATTCTCTAAGGTTAAAAAAAAAAAAAAAAAAAAAAAAAAAGAGAAGGAAGGGTTGGCTAAGGGCTTGAAGTATCAGGAGAGCTACTCTTACAAGAAATAGAGTAGATGTAGAGATAGATACACCGGAGTACCGAATGGACTTTCAAAAGACAAGTCAGTAGTTTGTTTGTTTGTTTGTTTATTTTTACAGAAAACGTGTGATATATACAAAGTGCAGAGCTCCAGGAATCTGTGGGGGAAGAAAGGGAGAAGTCCACATATGAATGCTCCTTCGCTGTTTCTCCACACTCCTCGTCAGACACTCATACTTTTTGTCCCACACGCACTTCGCCACTCAGCCGCTCTCAGACAATCCAGGACAGGAAACAGGAACAGTTCCAGGGGAATCTATATACAGGAGAAAATGGTCAGAAACAAGTTAGCGCTTTGCACAGAATAAACAGGTTTCAGGCGAGCTGATGACAGAATAATAATCAGTCTTCGCTTTACGCGCAGAAATTTGTCCAGATTATTTGATACTACGTAGAGGAGATGATTAATTATTCAATTTATTTACTTTTTTTTTTACACAACATTATTTTGAAATTAGTCTATAATTTAGTAGATGCGAATTAGCCTAGCTGTTTCTTGCTAGCAACACCCTATTTTCCTGCCTTTCCTGCGACAGACTGGCGACCTGTCCAGGGTGTACCCCGCCTTTCGCCCTATGCCAGCTGGGATAGGCTCCAGCGCCCCCCGCGACCCTGAAAAGGATAAGCGGAAGCGAATGGATGGATGGATGTAATGCTGCCATGAAATTGAAAATGAAGTTATATTTTTCATGAAACAGTAAAATTTCTTCTTCTAAATTCTAATATTAGTATTGTTTTCTGTGTTCTAATGTGAATAAAATATGGATGTATAGTGTTTGCGCATGTAATATAAATAATGAGTCAGAATCCGCTTTACAAATATTTTGTATGATAGGAGTAAGTTAAGTAAATTTATGGATTTTACATTGAGTGACCCATACAGCAATAGTACTTACACAATACATTATTGTAAACAAACCACGGCGGACACGTCCACATTTTTATGCTCTTCAGCATATAGTTGTTATCACTTCACACAGCTGCAGCTTTCAAGCTCGCAACTGAACGCTTCACCAACAAAAACTGACACAGGCAGCGCACAACTTTTTGTGACCTTGACATTTGAAGCAAAGTCCAAGCAGCTTGCAAACATCCACCTTGGGTTTCTCGATACGTCAAACTTTAACTTTTTTTCTATCGTACTTTGGGTGGGACAACATTTTAGACTGAAGATCTAAAGGACCCTAGTTCGATCCTGGGTTTCGGCAAAGCTATTTTGGTCACCATCTAGGGCTTGGTAGGTTTGTTGGTAGGACTTCATTAAAAGAAAAATAACGACCACATCAAACTGACAAATGATAATTTTTATACGGCCTACAACTACGTGGATCATTGCCATCAAATGAGAAAACAAACACAGATGGTGCAGCTTGCAAACGTCCATCAAGTG